ATATGCTAATTTTTTGGGACAGGCATTTTGGGTTTTCATGAGCTGTATGCCATAATCATCAGTATTAAAACAATTAAAGACCTGAAATATTTCAGTTGGTGTGCAATGAATCTGAAATATATGAAAGTTTCATTTTTATCATTACATTATGGAAAATAATGACCTTTATCACAATATGCTAATTTTTTGAGAAGGACCTGTATATGAAAATTGCATTATGTAAACATAACTGCTTCAATTTGGGAAGTGCAGTTTTCTTGGTAATCGTAATTCAGCAACAATGACAACAACCTGGTCCTATTTAAACCTTCACACACGTGTGCAACAATATTTTTACCTGAGGTTTAAGGATGTGAGTGACTGCAGACTGATGATGCTGTCTGGGATGGTCCTGATGCAGTTGTGATAAAGGTTTAGTGACTCCAAGGCAACCAAGTGACAGACCTCCGAGGGGACGTCAGTGAGTCGGTTCTTTGAAAGATCTTAAGGGAAAAAAGAAAAGAAGAAACTAAATATAAAAGAAACCAGGAACAGATGTTAGAAATAAGGAAATATTTATTCCTTTCCTTTATCTAAATTCATCCACCTACTCCCTAATTTCACTACAGATCAGTGCCTTCTGCAAACATCAAAAGCTATATAAACTCCAGACCAGTGATGTCATTAACGCGACATCGGACCACTTTTTTCAGTAACTAGTAATCTAACGCGTTGCTACTTCAAAATCCAGTAATCAGATTAAGGTTACTTATCCAAATTACTGTGCGTTCCTATTTTTGTCATTTTCTCTAGTACTGTAATTTAATTTTATTTCTTCTATGCATCTCGCAGAGTGACAAAAAAAAGTCTTGGGGAATGACGTCAGGTCTATGCGACAGTTCAGTCACGTTATCATCACCTGTGATACCTGATACCACGCTGCGACAGAAACGTAAACAATGGAGCGAGGAGGAAGATACGCATTTTGTAGCTGGAAATACAGGAACTATTTTGAGTTTCTGTCAGCAAAAGATGACAATATCAAGGTTTGTTGTTCCCTCTGTGCTGGCGAGAAAGTGCTGTCTAGCTTCAAAAACACCACATCAAATCTGAAGAAACATTTGGAGTCACAGCATGGACAGTCAAACTGATGGTGCAAGTCTCGCCAGGTGGTTCGAAGCAGAGAGCTGGGACAGGACAGGAGGTCCTCCACCTCAAACAACAAAACTTGCATTCGGTGCAAAACCGGGAAGTGGCGGAGAGTTAAAAAAGTTGGTCAGACGGTTTGTAGTAGAAGAAATGCTGCCCTTGAACATGGTTGGCTCGTCTTCGTTTCGAGTCATAATAAACCGAATCCCCACCACTGTAAATGCCGAGCTGCCTCAAAGAGGAGCTTTTTCCACGTATCTGGAGATGGAGTATGCAAAGATGGAGAGAAATCTGAAGGGTGCACTGAATGATGTCGACTTTGTGTCAACTACCGCGGATATTTGGGCTGCTAATGCCAGTAACAGAAGCTATGGGAGCAACAAGATGACTGTCCTTATGGGACTTTACTGCCCACACTTGAAGTTCTGATGCAGAAGACCCTGGCTGTGAAAGATTTGCTCCCCAGAATGACTGCAGGTCTTTCAGATGCTATCTGTAAGCTAGTTAAAATTTCTTACATCACACTATTTTTGTACATTGTACAGTATATTCGTTATCATAGGGGCAGCTGTGGCTGAGTGGCTAGAGCAGTCGTCCTCCAATGCGAGAGTTGGGGGTTTGAATCCACCAGCAGTCACATGCCGAAGTGTCCCTGGGCAAGACACTGAACCTTTCATCGTCCCTGATGTGTGTCTCATCAGTGTATGAATGTGATAAAGCTCTGATTAGTCTCTTTAGAATGATTTGTTCAATTAGCTTTGTAGAGATCTAGTATAGAGCTGTATGAATGGGTCAAGGAGGCACAGACTGTGTTGTAAAGCGCTTTGAGTATCTTGATTAGATAGAAAGGTGCTATATAAGTACAATCCATTTACCATAGCAAAAAAAGATTCAAACAAATACAAATGTCAATAAGAATCCTAAAACAAAATTAAATCCAAAATATTGATCCCACATTAGACATGGTTTGCAAGTAATTTAATTACATAATAAACAGTAGGTCTTGTAGATATATCAAAACATATCAATTGTTTTGCCGGCGTGCTGGACGACAAAGATGCCCTTGTAGCAGACTCTGACCCTGACTCTCACCCACGAACTGCTGGAAAAGCACATTTACCAGCTGCCCACAACCCTGAATGGAGTGAAACAAATACATTTATCACATCTCACAGTCACAGCAGCAGCAGCAACAAAATTTGTGATCCAACTGTCATCAGACTCAGGGAAGTTGGTGTTTGCGAAAAGTGCAGGAGTCAACTGCTCAAGGCCAGTACAAGTGACATCACATCCTGTGTAGCCTGGCAACGACAATATGAAGTTCACTTATCGGCTGGTGCCAAATAATGCTGAGAAATGTCATGCAAATGATTCACATTGTTCTGCAGAGGTTGAACACTTAACCTTTTAAAAGCACACTTTGTTTTGCTTCAAGAAGCGAGAGAAGGACAAGAGTTCATTTCCTCTGCTGGTTACAATCCCGGATAAGGAGGGTTTAGAGACAATGTTCAGTCATGATCCACCACAGCCTTGAAAACAAAGTTTCTCAGGAATTTTGTTCATCATTCATTCTTATGTTTGAGAGTCAGAATGAAAGTGAAACAGAATGGGTCACACAGGGTGCTGCTGCACAAACACAACACAGTGCTTTTGGATGGTCCAGGACTATCAGGAGGGAGGAAGCTGTTACTAATTTATTTATGATGAGATGAAACCAAAGCACAGGGCAATCTGGCACAAGAAGCTTTTATTATAAATAAAAAAAAGACTGATAGAAACAGCATTGTAAAAGTATTTTAAATGGAAAATAATTCACAATTAAGCTAAATATATTTGTCCAACAAACTTCAACTTAACAAAAGTTAAAGCTGCTTAGAGCAAGAGGTGCTGCAATTGCCTGTAACACAAAAATGTATTTAGATAATCAACAGCAAGGTGAACATTGCACATGCAGCGCATCTGAAGCTGCAGCGCCCTGTACACTTGTGTCCATCTAGGACAGCTGTACGGGAAGTCATTTCGTTGTACTACTGTCCAGGATAGTAAAGCATTCTGATTCTGATACATCATGGGTAACTGAGTCACAGAAAGTCTATTTAAAACAGAGGAAATGAGAAAAAAAGACCGTCAGGCCTGCTTTTATCATTAGAGCAAGCAGGAGCAGTTTGACTGGACCCATGGCAAGACGAGTGGTGGAGAAACTACTCAAACACTGTACTTAAGTAAAAGTACACATAAACAGACAAAAATGTACTCTAGAAAAAGTAGAAGTACCATATTAACATTTTTACTTAAGTAAAAGTAAATAAGTACTTGCTTTAAAAATACTTAAAGTATTAAAAGTAAAAGTACTTCCTGAATGTATTACATAAAGAATTTCTTGTTCAAGTTCAGAAGAAGTTGGTTTTCAAAGATTTTTGAGTCCAGTCTGGCTCTTGTGGGAGAGAGAATCTGTCCTGTTGTACTGAGCAGTACTTCAATAAGACATGGGTGGAGCATATCTTCTGACTGACTCTGTTACGGTGGAATACATTTTGGGTGTGTTAGTGGTGCTGCAGGTGCACCCAGCTCAGTGACATATATACTAGAACATACGTTATTAGTCCAGCTCTTCTTAAAGGCGGGCCTAACGTTACCTGTCCACTTTACAGTGATTCAATGGACCAGCTCCCTCTCACCATCGGTTACTTTCAAAGTAACAAACAAATCAAAAAGCTGCAACATGAATGTAACTTGTAATGCAACGCGTTATAGAAAGTACAGATACTTGATGTAAAATGTAGTGGAGTAAAAGTATAAAGTACCCACATTTAACTCTACTTAAGCAAAGTACAGATACATGAAAAATGTACTTAAGTACAGTAACGAAGTATTTGTACTTAGTTACATCCCACCACTGGGCAAGACACAGCTGTCATCATCATGTCTGAGTGTGAGGTTACTGAAGAAGTGTCTTCAGCAGGTCACTTACTGAAAAGTAAACTGGACTGAACGATAGTAACGTTGTAAACACTGAGGTGACCTTAACAAGCATGTACTGTAAAACATCAGACAGGCAGAAAGACCAAGAGACAAATTAAAGTCACCTGGGACTCACAGATACACATCTGTCAGAAGGCATTTAAATGTCTGTGTACACATAGGTCCTGTGAGGGGACAAGTGACGCCTTCAGCCCTCAGGTAATAAACCCCCATCACATGCATTACACCTCTCTCTACTCCTACTGCAACAATGTAACCATGTTAGAACATTGACACAATTACAGCTTCAACCAAGATTATGAGGCATACACTTTGGAATTGTACTTTATAAGAAGGCATGCAGGATAACAGTAAACGTTTATGTGTTTTGCCATTCAATGAATTGGAGATCCTGTCTTATATCCCTTTACTTATGACCTTAGTGAGAAATTTGTCAGAAAGAAAGCAGAAAATAGAGCCCATAATGGTTCTGACATAATCTTTGGCCTTGGTGTGAAAAGCACTGAAAACTTCTGAGACCTCACTTTGTAGAACAAAGAAGAGCAGTGTTAAAACTCAGACAATACATGAATGAGGAGGCAAAAGAATGTTTCGCTGCCCACTGATTGACATGGAGCTTTATCACCAACCGCAGCAGGACCACAGGGAGGCAAGAGAAAGGAGATGAAACAACAACAGTCTTCTACAGCAGTCCCTCGCTACTTCGTGCTTTGACTTTGCAGACGTGCTCTGTTGCGGTTTGTGGACGTCCAAAATATTGCACAGTTTTTAATTATTTTATTTTATTTTTAACACACAATTGTGGACTGTACAGTAATATCACTGTACAGAACTCATGTGGATGTGAAAAAGTTAATGACAAAAAATAATCATTCAGACAGGCGCTGCCATTTTGTAGTTTTCAGGCATTCAACCCCCAACTGTACTATAAATGCCACTCATACGGACTACATTAGCTTTAATTCAATGATGTAGTGCATATGTATCAAACTCAAGGCCCGGGGGCCAAATGTGGCCCTCGTTGACATTTTATCTGGCTCCCAAGATGTTATTTTAAATGTAAAATACTTTTATCACTTTATTTTTTTTCAGTAATCTTTGATTATGATGTCAAAAGTGCAAGAGAGAACGTCAAATGAGACCAATCAAACTCTTGTTGAGGAACCTGCAACCAAGAAAAGATGTCGAGTATCTAACTTGAGTTAATGCAGAATCTGAAGCCGACCCTTAGTTTGAAAAACGTTTTAATTTTGGCCCCCTTTTGTAAGTGAGTTTGACACCCCTGCTGTGCCTCCGGCTGCTGTTTTCTGACAAACGGTATTTTTGCAAAGTGAAGTCATGACTGCTGGCCCGTCCGTTCAAACATCACATA